GAGGGAGAGGGGGAGAGAGAGGGAGAGGGGGAGAGAGAGGGAGAGGGAGAGGGAGAGGGAGGGAGAGGGAGGGAGGGAGAGGGAGTGAGGGAGAGGGAGAGAGAGATGCTCCTTTTTTATCTCCTGCACAGCTCCTTGCTTCCCGGAGCTGTATGTTATATAGGATTCTCAGCCCGACATGAGAGTTCTGCTTGTGTCTGTGGTATCTGTACTGGCTATGCTCCTTTAGTTTAAGTGTTGGAGCTTCAATTCTTTAAGTTGCATTCACTTTGACTATCTTTCTTCCTTCTTTCTCACCTGAGTCGGTTGCTGATGTCTTGTCATCCATCTCTAGATTATTCCTCAGTGTCTATAAGAACCTGTACCAGATCCTCATTACCAGAAAACCATGAATACTCAGTGTCTCCACTGGATTTCTTTTCCCATAGGTCTGAGCAAAATGCTTGGCCACAATGGCGGTCATAAATGGTAGGACTTGTAGGCGGTGACTAGAGAGGTGGGAGATGGACGGAAAGCCAAAGTGTTATTTCCAGACATGTGACACAAGTGAACACAGCATTGGACAGGACAAGCTCAGACCCCCAGTGTCGGTAGATTTGAGAGGAGGAACTTTGATGCCGGACATGTGCCTGCACAAGTCCGATAAACTTGTCAGGCGACAGGGGGAGAGTTTGCACTGGAGATAGGAATTAGACATCAGTCCTGTGACTGGATGAGCTCTCATGGGGGAAATGCGAAGTCTGAGTGCACTCAGGGTCACCCAGGACTTTCATAACCCTCCATTCTCCTTAAATGTAAGGGCCGATAGTTAAGGGGACCTTGGATAACAAACTGTCCTTGCTGCCTTATTAGCTCCCGTTCCATTATATTTGTAACCAAGTCGTTTCCGGCTTCCCTAAACACTGGTTTCATTCTACAGTCCATTTAGAGTGAACAGAGGGAGAAGAGAGGTTAGGATGAGAGTTTTATGACCTGCTGATATGTTTCAACAGCAATCATTAGGTAAGCCAATATTGGGCAGTAACAGAGTAGGGTAGGTAGCACAAAGCCTCTGGGAAACTAAAGAGCCCCAATAGCTATAGCATGCTACAGTGCCTGCTAGTGATAAAGAGCTTTTGGAAAAGATTGGGGGTGGGGGTGGGGGTGGGGGGGCAGTTCGAGAGCAAACTAGAAGGCCTTAGAGAAAGAAGGGGTGACAGAGGAGGGGGACTGCAGGGCCAATCAAACTCGCAGCAAATTGCTTTTTTAGTTTGCATTTAATTATCAGGTAGAGAGTGTTACCAGAGAGAAGTGAACTGGGCTTTTTTTTTTTTTTCCACAATAGTAATAATCCCGTTTAGGAAGTTTCTAAACTCAAACTGGTAGGCAGCTCGCTAAGAAGAAAGTGGGGAAAACTGTAGGGTGGTCCTTACCTTCGCGGTCCAATGGCAAGGAAGCCCGTACTTTACTAAGCAGATGATTGGCTACTGTAAAAGTCCCGCTCTGAGCAAGCACCAATGCACTCTCAGGGGCGAGATTCTTGGAAACAGTTTCTGGCGAGGAATGCATGACATTGAGGTGGCTCCTGAGTTGTAAACAAGGACAAGTCTGGGCGGGCCTGAAGCCCCTGGCGACCTGGGACCTATCCTAAGGGGACCAATCTCTGGCCCACGTCTTCCCGGATGCCCGCTGTAGCTGCTCCCTTACCCCACCCCACCCCTGCCTTTCCCTCACCCTTTGCCCCTTCCTTGCAGGCCGTGGAAACCGTGTCAGGATCACTGTGCCAGGCATTTCTAGTGACCAAGGCCAAAGGGAGGAGCCCAAAGTTCTTTCTCTGAGCTGATTGGTGTGGCCCCAAGTTCAGAGTCCCAGGGCCTCCTCCTGGCTGGAGTTGTGGAGAGGGCGGGGAGGTAAATAAAAGGCAAGACAGCAGGAGGTGGGAAGACACAGTGTCAACCGTTCACCCAGCACCCGGGACCCTGAGCCCACAGCGCTCTTGCTCCTCCTGCTCGACAGCGCTCCTGCCCTTCAACTCTCGCCAACCCTACGGATCCTAGCCACTGTCAGCCTAGGTGGGCGTCAGGATGAAGGCAGCCCGCTTCATGATGCGCAGCGCCAGCTCGCTGAACAGCGCCGGCCTGGTCCCCAGGGAGGTCGAGTTGTTCTCCCGCTACAGCCCGTCCCCGCTGTCCATGAAGCAGCTGCTGGACTTTGGTGAGAGGCGATGCAGGGCTCAGGAGGGTGGCGCTGAGGCTGGAGAAGCCCCAGGATGGGAAGGGCTGAGTTCAGGGCTAGGACAACTGAGGCCTGTTTGGCGCAAGAACTCAGGAGTCTCAAAAGGCTGTGCACCTGTTTTCCTAGTTTGGTTACTTTCTGACAGTTTGTACCAGAAGTCTAGGTCATATTGATGCTCAACTTCGATTCTACTTTCCTCTTGTCTCTGTCTAGATCTTTGAGTTGAAATACATATTCGCTTTCAGCCACCACTTTAATAATGGACTAGAAACTAACTCCTTTCTTCCCAATGTGGCACTCCCTAATAACATAAACTCACCTTAGACTGATAGATTTTAATCGGTAGATTTAAACTCGTACCACGACCTCCACGCATTCTGCTCACCTCTTAGCATGTCTAACAGACATCTTTAGTATTTCGCCTTTATTGCTTTACAAGTATTTACATTACTACTAAAAAGAAAAAAGAAAAGAAAAAGACGGTTACTCCCTTTCTGCAGCAGTGGTATACGGTGTTGTTTGTTGCTAGTCTGGAACCGCTTCTGCCTCCTTCTACTCAGATCCTGTCAAGTTCGTACTCATTAGAGGACGTGTTGTTGACTTTGTAGTACAGGATGGCCCTGAACTCACAGATAGGAATAACTAGAAAGTGGCCTGATTTCTCCAGAGTGATTTTTTTTTCCAGAAAGAAAATAAACAGTATTTCCTCTATGTTGGTCACTCTTAAAAGGAAAAGAGGGTAGGGGGAGTAGGACCAAAAGAAAAAGACACTAAAGATCTGTCCTTAAAGTATCTATACGCACTAACTTAACTCTGGTTAAGATATCATTTTACAACATTTATGTTTGCTATTTATTCTCAATTCCCCCCAGCCCCAAACTGAACATGTTTCACTCACTACAGGTTCAGAAAATGCCTGTGAAAGAACTTCCTTTTCTTTTCTGAGGCAAGAATTGCCCGTAAGACTAGCCAATATCCTGAAGGAGATCGACATCCTCCCTGACCGATTAGTGAATACCCCTTCGGTGCAGCTGGTGAAGAGCTGGTAAGGGTCACACTGTTTTGAAGTCTCTGACTTTAAAAGTTACCTGAGTACCGCTTCTTATACCATATTAACATCATACTTGGATAATAGGTGGTCTTAACAGAAAATAGCTTTGAAAGTTGTAACTAAGTTTGTATTAACTTAGGGCAGGTTATCATTAAGATTGTTATTAATCTACAAATAGATGTTTTTTAATATCCTTTAAAAAAATCATTCCTCTTCACTTTGGGGGTGTGTGGCTTCTGTTTTTGCTTTAGTTTCCTTTTCCTTTTTTTCTTACTGTTATTTGGCTCTTAAGAGAGGATCTGGTGAAGCACAGACTTCCTGGAACTCCTTATATAGCTTAGGATGACCTTGAAGTCCTCTCTACTTACCCTCACCTCCTAGCTGCTGGGATTATAAGCCTGTACTACTATACCCAACTTCCATTACAATATAATTTGGGCATATGAAATAAGTTTGAAGAATAATCAACATTTGAATTTTTTAAATGTTTTGCTTTACATAACAAAAGATAGACTCTGAAATTGTACAAACAATCCTTTGCTTGGAAATTGGTGGAGATGTCTGCTGTTTAGAGAGGGTCTAAGTTTTATACCTTACCAGCCACTAGCAAAATGAGCCTTGGGTTCAAATTCTGCCTTTGCATCCTTAGCATCTTAGCAAGCGTCTTAAACCCTCCACTGCCTCCACTGCTGGCACCTATTGTTACAAGAGATGCTGAATATAATTAGATGAAGTAATTTATTTCTCATACATACAAAGCAAGCACATGACCAGCATTTGATCTCAGTTACTTTGATTTTGTCTTTAAATGAAGAGTACTGATGCCTAGCAGGCAGATGTTTGGAGGGTAGATCCATGCTATAGACTGTGGTAGATAAAGAGACCTACCCTAGTCCATTGATGGTGCAGCATACCAACCAGTGATTGAAGAAATATGGTATGCCAATAGGATGATTCCAATCTGAAATGTTATGTGCAGTCTATCGTACCCATAGCTACTGTCAAGACTTCAGTTCTCCGGCAAAGGCATACAGTCGGGGAAAAAAATCAGAAATGCTTTTGTTTTCCTCTTCTTCTTCTTCTTCTTCTTCTTCTTCTTCTTCTTCTTCTTCTTCTTCTTCCTCTTCCTCTTCCTCTTCCTCTTCCTCTTCCTCCTCTTCTTCTTCTTCTCCTATTTATTCATTAATCTTTTTTTACAGTCCAAACTTTATCCACCTCCCAGTCTACCCTCCGACTGTTCCACATCCCACACCTCCTCCCCCTCATTTCAAAGAGGATGTCCCCATCCCACCCCTACTCCACCATACCTCCCCACTTCCTGGGGCTCCAAGTCTCTGCAGGGCTAGGTGCATCTTCTCTGACTGAGTTCAGACCTGGGCAGTCCTCTGCTATATATGTGTTGGGGGGGATCATATCAGTTTGTGTGTACTGCCTGGTCAGAGACTCAGTTTCTGAGAGATCCCTGGGATCCAGGTTAGTTGAGACTGCTGGTCTTCCTATACAGGATTGCCCTCCTCCTTAGCTTCTTCCAGCTTTTCCCTAATTCAACCACAGGGGACAGCAGCTTCTGTCCATTGATTGGGTGTAAATATCTGCATTTGACTCTTTCAGCTGCCTGTTGGGTCTTTTGCAGGGCAGTTAGTCTCCTGTTTGTAAGTACCCCATAGCATCAGTAATAGTGTCTGGCCTTGGGGCCTCCCCTTGAGGTGGATCCCAATTTGGTCCTATCACTGGACCTCCTTTTCCTCAGGCTTTTCTCTATTTTTGTTCCTGAGATTCTTTCAGACAGAAACAATTCTGGGTCAGAGTTTTAGATTGTGGGATGGCAACCCCATCCCTCCACTTGATTCCCTCCCTGTCTTTCTGCTAGAGGTGGGCTCTACAAGTTCCCTCACCCCACTGTAGGACATTTTATCTAAGTTCCCTCTTTTTGAGTCCTGAAAGTTTCTCACACTTTCTTAAAGGTTGATTCTGAGTATTTTTAGTAGAAGAAATGACAACATTTGCCAACCAAAGTGGTCAGGAAGATAGAGAGTGAAAATTGCAGCTTTAAACATACCTTAACTTATTATTTTCCAAACATTTTGAAGGAAGGTTCCAATTTGAAACATAGTGGTTCCCTTCCCCTATCTGATCATTTCTAAAGATATTTTAATTGCATCTGACATTAATTTCAAAACGTCTCCCTTTACAGGTACATCCAGAGTCTGATGGACTTGGTCGAGTTCCATGAGAAGAGCCCAGAAGACCAGAAAGCTCTATCAGAGTAAGCTTTCTTCTTGATAATAACATGCTAGGAAATCTGAATCCTTCAGGACACATCTCACAGATCTTTTGAAAGCTTAAAGAGCCCCCAGCCTTCCACAGTAAATTGCTACCACGTACAAATTTTGGCTTGTTTGTGGTTTTAGAAGTGGAGAAATGTAGAGCTGAAATGAATGCTAGGTGTGAACCAATGTAGAGGACGTGGAGTTTTAGCTTTCCAAGGTATGCCATGTTTGCTTTAAATTTAGTCCAAAGATTATATTTGCAAGAGAGTTTGCCATAACACAATTTTAATGAACTTCTGAATCGTTAGGGATTGTGTACTTTCTTTGCATGTGACAATTTCTATCTAGCTAGCTAGCAATCTTTTATAAAAAAAAAAAAAAAAAAAAACCTGTGGTTTTATTTTCCACAGTGGCATGCTAGAATCATCTCTGATTTTAAATAGCCTCTAACAAGTAGGCTTAATGAACATTTTTTTTTAATGAAGGCAGCAGTCATAGAGCGAGTAGTTTTATATGGGACCTAGAAATACAAACCCTTTCATGAAGCTGCCTCTTCTGCTGCTGCAGAAGAGTGTAGAGTGGGAGTCCAAAAGAAGTTTCACCCAGAATTTTATAATTGGCTGTGCTTAGGTTGGTCCTGTAAAAAGAGCTTTAGTTTTCTCTGAAGTAACTTAAGGAAGACACGGGTGGGAAACTTCTTTAATGTCCACTAACTATGAATGTTTTGGCTTAGCTTTGTAGACACACTGGTCAAAGTTCGAAACAGACATCATAATGTGGTCCCTACGATGGCTCAAGGGGTTCTTGAGTACAAAGACAGCTGCACAGTGGACCCTGTCACCAATCAAAATCTTCAGTATTTTTTGGACCGGTTTTATATGAACCGCATTTCTACTCGGATGCTCATGAACCAGCACAGTAAGTGAGCCTCTCCATGGATGGCCTAGACATAGGTACTGAGCATACTGTACCCATGGGTATACCATTCTGAGGCTGGGCCCATGACTGGGGGTGGGGGGGTCTCACAGTTCTGGGGCAGTTCTAGTCACCAACCTGAGTTTTATAAAATATTTTTGTTTTCATTTTTCAACAGTTCTCATATTTAGTGACTCAAAGACAGGCAACCCAAGCCACATTGGAAGTATCGACCCAAACTGTGATGTGGTAGCAGTAGTCCAAGGTAATTTCTAGACTTCTGAATTTCTCTTATTGAAAATGTATAATACATGGTTGGTAAATCTGTAATCTAAGTGATTCTGTAAATGAATTTGTGTTCACCATGCTCTGTTTGTGCTTTATGAATTCTGCCGTCAGACTCCCTTGCTTTAGAGTGTCAGGAGTATAAACACTCATTTATAGTATTATAAAATATTTAAACGTAAGTGGTCCATGTGCCATATTCTTATATATTGTATTTGATCTAAAAGCGCACATATTCCTATTGCTACGCTTTCAATAAAATATTGTTTTAATGAAATATTAAAGAGACGTCTTTCATACATATAAGCCAATTCTCCGGTGAATAGAATTTTAGATTAAGTGTAGTAAACGCATTGGATATCACTTGACAACTGTACTTGGAATAAATTTATTTCATTGTTATGAAAAAATTTTCTATTCCAGATGCCTTTGAGTGTGCAAAGATGCTCTGCGATCAGTATTATCTGACATCACCAGAATTAAAGCTCACACAAGTAAATGGTAAGCTGGCAGCAGGAAGACACAAGTAGAGCTATTAAAATGTAGTACTTCGGATCTTTGTCAATACAAAGCAACCTTTGTGTTCTTTTTATTCCCCTGAGCTTACTTAGAATTTGTAAAAGTTCTGTTTTGTTTAAGACAAACTTCTCCCTCTTTGCCGCAGCTGAAAAGCATCAATTGTGTATACTGTTTGCTTGCTATAATTCTTTTGGACAATGATGTACCCGGGCTCCAATGTCTTAGATCAAAGAAAGACTGTTTGCTATATAATATGTAAGGTAATCTCCAGGCATAGTGCCTGCAATCCTAGCACTTAGGAAGTGGAGGAGTTGAAGTTCTTCCTACAAGTCCTTCAACCTCCAGACAAGCTGAACATACCTAAGACTGTCCACCAAAAGAAAATAGAATCCAGTTAGAATACAAAACCAGAAGGATATCTGAAGTACAGAAAGCAGTTGTGAATGGCAGTAACCTTCTCAAGATGTTATTCATGGGACTAGAGAACAAAAAAACTTCATAAATTCCCCTATAAGAAATAAGATAGACACAGGACGACAGATATTGCAAGATTCTGATCATGTGTGATATAAACCCGAATTATTCATAGTCACACAAGCAGAAATTGCAACAGTATTTGTCAAAGATTCAGGGGGAAGAGATAAGGAATTGTTTTTGAATAAGTATAAAGATTCAGTTGTGTAAGATGAATAAGTTCTAGAGATTTGGTGCCCAGCATAGTTAACAGTATTGTAATATACACTTAAGAATCTTTTAAATATGCTTACACTCATGTTGAATGTTGTTACTACAAATTTTTAAAATGTGCTGAGAATATATACTGCTATTTAGAAATGGAACATACTTCAAACCTTGAATTCTATGCTTGTCTGCTGAGATGAGGTCTTCACATATGGAACTGATCATATAATTGATGCAAGGGACAAATGTGTATCTTATTCTCTTCTATTCCAGAAGAGAGTGGCTTCTCAGATCAAGGCACGCTTAAATTGAAATGATCATTCCTTTACATTCTGAGTATATTTTTTCCTAGTAATATATACAGTGATAGTTATTAGAGGAGAGATTAATAGTTGTTGATTTAAGTAGACTAACTCATAGACAGAGGGCATGGGAATGTCAGAAAACAATAAAATCAAAGCAGGGAAACTGACAATGACGAACCCAGAGTAAGCAGAATTGTGTAATACTTGGGGATAAACTGCTCAAACCGTTGGACAAAACAAAGGCAGGATTGTGCCAAGGCTTCCCTGTGTTTACTCAGTCAAACTTTTTCAAAGCCCTGGGGCATCAAAGAATACTTTTATTTTTGTTTTCAAACAGTATCATGAGGCTTGTGTTTCTGTTTTCTTTATCCTATTGGGAAAGCTTAAACACATTTAGCTTCTAGGATTTAATATTCTGGGAATTTAAAAATAAAACATGTCACTTAATATGTATTAAAATATGAAAAGTTACAGCTACTACTAATTCCTCCTCTCTTCAAATGCATTTAGTTTTATTACTGAAATTGTATGCTTTAAACACGTTGAAAATAGACTTCATTCATTTAATGACTTCATTTATTCCACAATCTCACACTTCAGCCAACTACATACATTTACAGGGAAATGCAAGCGTTAATCTTGAATACTAAGGAGCAGCTGGAACCGCATTGGATATAAAAGCCAGCTGTCTTTACTGTTTAAAAGGGAATGTTTTAAGTCACCATTTTCAGGTGGTAAAAAATGGCAGCTATCCCAATCTTGTCTAGAACTAAAACAGTAATCTAACAGACTTGGAGGTTCATATCAGCAAAATAGTTGTTTCCCAATCCTAATGAGTTTAATCGTTTTCTAGGAAAATTTCCAGGCCAACCAATCCACATCGTGTACGTTCCTTCCCACCTTCACCATATGCTCTTTGAACTCTTCAAGGTATGATATTTCCCAGCAATTGTAGCTTTGTCTCTAAATACTTCTGTACTCACAATTTTATCATTCCCCATGAAATAAGACCCTCTGTACATTCTCCCAAGAATTCTTTTGTATAACGAAGCCATGTAGCGAGTGATTGGGAAAGCGCACAAGATCACAGTAAAATAATGTGTTTGAAAATATACAACATGGTTTATTATATCTCAGTACTGTAGAGTAGAGACTGTGCTCCCATCATTTCTTCAGATTTGTAACAAAGCACTAGTCATTTATTCTTTAGAAGAGGTCATGGGGTGTCTCTGGGAATGAAGTCTTACAACCTCGCACTACAGACTCTACCACTGCAGACTCCAAGGCAGGGAGAGGTCTTGTAGGTAGGGTCAGTGGTGTCCAGGATTCTGAATTTCCAAGGATGTGATGGTAATCCACAGTCAACACTTTCTAACCAGCCTACAGAAGCCTGGTTCTCAGTATGTGCCATTACCATCCACAGGCCTTGATGAAAGAAAGATGCACAGAGATAGTTAAGCTCTCTAGATCTGAGAATTTGTACTTCTAACACTGAAGACTCAAAGGCATCTAGTGTGGGTAACTAAATACTGATATTATACCCTCTTATGTGTTCTAAGATCGTACTAACACTCTGAACTTAAGCCAGGAAATAAGAGTTACATGAAGTTTGTGATGTTCTCCAAGGTGATTTCATAGATTGACAGGAGGAAGGAAATCTTTTGAAAGGTAAAATCTGCCTCTAATACTGGCTTAAATCCAGAATGTACTGTTTTCCACCTTACCCTAATGTTTGGCAATGAGGCATTGATTAAACTCCAAATATCTGATCTATTTTATTTTACTTCAGTTAATATCTGAAATCATACATAAACACCAAAAGATAGTGGGAAAGGAAAATAGATCAATGAAATGAGGTTTCACCCACAGGGAATTTCCTGTGTAAGCTCAAGCTGTATTTGAGTTTACTTGATGATGAAAAATACATGATACTTTTGCATAGATTTAGTTTTATTTTAGTTGAATGTTCTAACTCACAGAGTAACTCTCCCATCACTGGTGAAAGGTAAGATGATATTCAGATGCAAATAGAAATTTAATTTAGAATTATTGACTGTCTTTTTAAATAGTAGCAATCTTTTTTTTTCCCCAGCAAGTTTTATAAAAGCCAATAAATTGGTTCAATGATTCACTGTTCATTCCTTATGTAATAGTCTTTGGTGTTTGGATATAAAATGTAATGGAAAGACAGAAAAATAGGGCACTAGGAAATGGACTATAAAAACCAATTTCTACATTTAAATTAAGCTTACAAATAAGAACTTGACAGCCAGCAGAATTGTTTTTCCATTAGACATTACTCCCAGGAGCTATGTTACATGGTAAATGAAGATTTTGAATTATACATTCTACATGACACATTCATAAACGGCTATATTTACAGAGATGTTTTATCACTCACTTAAGAAATAGGAACTTTGAATTAGCCTCTGCCGCTTTTAGTTTAAACATAAAACCAGATATTTATTGGTCTTATTCTTCCTCCACTGGGTTCATTATACTTTTGTTGTCTTTAGAATGCCATGAGGGCCACAGTTGAGCATCAAGAAAACCGCCCTTCCCTGACACCGGTCGAAGCCACTGTCGTCTTGGGAAAAGAAGACCTTACAATCAAGGTGACCACTCCCTGCCTTTTGTTGGAGGTTCTATCTAGAGAGAACTAAAAGCAGTTGATAACAACATGGGGCTCCATTTGGGGCAACTCTTTTAGCCATGTGTGCCCAGTGACTTTGAAGAAAGGAAAGCTCTTTTTCTGTAGACAGGTGTCCATTGTTGGGAAAGTATAGCACTGACCTATTTGTTTGCCCGTTTCAGATTTCTGACCGAGGAGGCGGTGTTCCTCTGAGGATTACTGACCGCCTCTTTAGTTACACATACTCCACTGCTCCAATGCCTGTGATGGACAATTCCCGGAATGCCCCTTTGGTAAGACCAATGATACAGCTGAGGTTATCTCAAGGCCACCTAGTTCTAAACGTATGGTGAGACTTATAAGGAAGTGTTTAAGCAAGATAATCGATTTAGCTCAATAGGCACACAGACATGTGAGAAACATGACAAAGCTAGCTAATGTTGGAGTGAAGATCCTAAGAGCCCCTGGTTGGGAGAAGGAGGTTTTCAAAAATGAACAACAGTGAAGCTCCTAACTCCTTTCCATATTTGGTATCCTGGTGATCCTGTCTGCTTTTTCCCTAACCCTCGACCTTCTACCTCCAGGCTGGTTTTGGTTATGGCTTGCCAATTTCTCGTCTCTACGCCAAGTACTTTCAAGGGGATCTGAATCTCTACTCTATGTCAGGCTATGGGACAGACGCCATCATCTACTTAAAGGTACGCCTGGAACACAGTCAAAAGCCATCTTTTCAGAGCCATGGATTTGTTTGCACCTCTGTGTTCCATGTTCCTCTGTGAATGCTTCAAACCAAGGTAGTCTCAGGAACAGCCAGCTGTTAAAGCTCCTGTTTGGGTGTGTGCACACCATACTTGTACACATCTTACTCAAGAGAGAGCTAAGGTGTGCTCCCTGTCTCAAGTGCTGACTCAAACATAGATTAAGCCCCAGAGTGGCAGCATCCTGATGTGAATCTTTTCAGACAACTTCTCTTTGACATCTGTGCCAGTACCTAGAGTTCTGTTTTACTCAGCCTTGTGGGTAATACATGCTGATGAAAGTTCAGAATAAAACAATAAAAACCCGAGACCTTTGTAACCTTAAGCTGACTCTATTTAAAACCCAGGGGAAAGATTGCTCACAAGCTGTCAGTGGGGTGCCAGGCATTTCCTTTTTAAAATTTAAAACTGAGTACAAATTTTTCTGTCTCAGATAAAGCCTAAATTTGTTTGTTAAGATCACCTTCCCAACTCTGTTTGTCATTTGCCAACTATTTCAACAGAAAATTTATTTATAGCTAGTAAGAACTGCAACATCAGTGGCTTCTAGGCTTCCTCCATTTTGTTTGTTGGAATTAAATACTCACATATCCTTAACGGTCTGAAATACTTGATGCACCTGTTCATTTCTGAAATGGACAAAAGTCTCCAAACTGTCGGGAAGGAAGCCTATAATGGATGACTAGTGTCATCTGAGGTCTCTACCACTGAATCCCAGGTTTCTTTCTGGAAAGAATTGCTTTTCTTTTCAATTCCATTCCATCAGAGGTCTCCAACGGTTATGTGTAAATATTGAACCCAAAAATCTGTGCTCAAATTTACAATCCCACTTCTACAATTTAAGCTTCTATTGAACAAAGATAATAGGTTTTTTTGGTCATCTTTTGTGAAATATCTAGAACATCAATGGGTTTGGTATCTTTTTACCACAATATCAATTAAATGAGAGTACTTGGATATGAAATCAGACCTCTGATTGTATTTTGAATAATGCAGTACAGCCATGCATCATTTCTTTAATTTGTTGTTATCTCTACTTTCCTTTTAGGCTTTATCTTCTGAGTCTGTAGAAAAACTCCCTGTCTTTAACAAGTCAGCCTTCAAACATTATCAGATGAGTTCCGAAGCTGATGACTGGTGTATCCCAAGCAGGGAACCAAAAAACCTGGCAAAGGAGAAGCTGGCAGTGTGAAGAGGAACACGCCTGACACTTTACGGGATCAAAGTGGGTCTATGGCAGTGCTGCTTCGTGAATGTGTGTGGACTCTCATTTCCGCAAAACAAAACCAAGCAAGCTAAAAACAAACGTTAGAACAGACATTGATCCAATGAGGGATGGTGCTTGGTTGAGTGACCCGGGAGAAGTCAGGGCAGGACTCCAGTAGACATCAGGTATCCTGCTTCTCATTTGGCAATGCAGAGTGACTCATGACTATTCCAAATACCGAGAAGTCTGCCTCTGAGTTACAGCTCTTTCTCAACAAGTACAGAGTTTGAGGGTTGCAGTTTCAACAGCTGAATGTTTGAGGGGTCTTCCTGCCATCCAAATATATTGGTGTTTAGTGAACATCAATTACCACTGTTTTCCTGCCGTGCAAAGATTGGAGCATTGGCAGAACTGTGTGTAAATATACATTTGATAGGTGTTGGGATGCTCTAGAAAGGACAGGATGGAAGGAATCAAAGCACTTTATTGAGCTTGAGGCTGGGCATTGCAACCTACGTGTAATCTCAGAAGAAAAGCTTCACTGTCAAGACAGCTCTAGTACAGTGCAGCTTTTTCTGTTTGGTCTGCACTCAAAAAGCCATGTCTTTTGGCTGGTGCCTAGTCTTGAGTGAAATGTTAAATATACACTGACCTCAGGAAGTTGGGTTCGAAAGGGAGATAAATTGCCAAAGTGGTCCAAGGATTGTGTATGTGGAGAAATCCATGTTAGAGAAAGAAATCATGTACTCAGAACTTTGCTGTGAAGAAATGGCTGTTCTCTAACTGGAAGTAGTGAAAAATCCAAGGGTATCTACTTTCTACTCTCAAAAATATGTGCATTTTATATTTTATTTTTATTCTCTACACTCTAACATATCTGTTCAAACTTTTCTAGTTGCCGATTGGCTTGAGAGTGTTAAATTTTAAATCCCTCTTGGAGTACCTTCTTTGAGAGTAGTCTGGAAGTAAACTGTTCTCATATCAGGATGATGTCATTTGTGAAACATGGAGACATCAAGAAGTATTGACTAAAAGCTGTGATGTGCTTGAGGCTTGGGAAGTTGAAGGTGTAATTGTCAGCTCAGCAGGAGGTCATCCATGTAGACCACCCATAGAAAAGAAAGGAAAAAATGAGAAACAAGGGAAGGAATGGGGAGAGGGAAGGAAGGAAGGAAGGAAGGAAGGAAGGAAGGAAGGAAGGAAGGAAGGAAGGAAGGAAGGAAGGAGAAGGCAGGCATCTTCCTATTTCCCCACAAGCTAACCCAAAGAATCCTCTATTTTTCCTGGGTAGGGAAGAGGACAAATTGGTGTCTTTGAAAATAGTATGGCTTCTTCAATGGGTCTCACGCTTACAAGATAAGGTGAAATAATAAATGAATTTGTGTCAAATTAATGTTGAAACATTTTTCTGCATTGTAATATTATCAGTCCTGTGTGTCAATTGAGTTTGAAATTTGCATTTAATTTCACAGTGACCTAGAGCTGAGGTGCTTCTGGTGGTGGCAACAGGAGCCACAACTATTTGTTTTGCATTGCAGATGTTATCCTTAAAGGTTCTAGGCAGTGACTTTGAAAGCAGGACTTTGACTCCAGCATTGATTGATCACACAAAACTGTCAACATTTGGATTACCTGTTGTATCGTTGTTTTGTTGTTGATGTTTTCATTGAAATTTCAGCTACATGTTTGTACACATGAATACTTGTGTTTACCAAAGATCTAAGGCATTTGGCTAATTAGATCAAATACCATAAGCTATGTGCAAAGTAATAGAAAAAATCTTTAGGATCTCCATAGCATCAACTGTGTAAATTAAATCAAAATAGTCTTTCCTATTATTTATGAATCCACAGGAGACTTTAACACATGTAGATGGATGCTAAATGCCCAGACCCACTTAACTTATTAATGTGTGAATTACATTTATGTTTTTAGTTTATATGCAGAGAAATGTGATAATTTTATAATAAATATTTTTATTATAATAGTAATGTGGTGTTCTAAAATTCTTTTCTTGAATAATCTCAAAGTATAATGAATGATTTCAACTAAAGGCATTCCTCCCATTTTTATTTAAATGTATACACTTGGCATAGGCTTTGAAAAGTATTAAAAACAACTTTAAAATTCTAATTTTAAAACAAAAGTCTTTTAGAGTAGTTCAGAAATTGTGGTTGTCTTTTTTTTTGTTTGTATATTCTCCATGAACATACAGAACTAAAACATGTTTACCTACAAGTATTTATTCAGCAACTGTTTGGTAATGCATGTTTCCTAGAATTTTCATGATCCCTGTTCTTTCTTTTTTATTAATTATTTATTTACTTTCCAAATATTGTCCCCCTTCCTGACCACCCCTCCATGAGTTCTCCCACCCCTTCCCCTTTGCTTCTGAGAGGGTGCTCCCCCACCCACCCACTCATCCACCCACTCCCACCTTACCCCACTAGCATCACCCTTCCCTGGCATGCTTCCTGGGCATTAATTTTCTACAGGATTAAAAGCATTCTTTCCCAATGAGGACAGACAAGGCAGTCCTTTGCTACATATGTAGTGGGGGCCACAGACCAGTCCATGTATCCTCTTTGGTTTGTGGCTTAGTCTCTGGTAGCTCTGAGAGGTCAGGTTAGTTGATACTGTTGTTATTCCTATAGAGTTGCAATCCCCTTCAGCTCCTTCAGTCCTTCCCCTAGCTCTTCCTCAGGGGTCCCTGATCTTAGTCCAGTGGTTGGCACTAAGTATCTGCATCTGTCTCAGTCAGCTGCTGGTAGAGCCTCTCAGAGGATAGCCATGCTAGGCTCCTGTCTGTCAGTGCAACGTGGCATCAGTAATCATGTCGGGGTTTGATGCCTACCCATGGGATGGATCCCAAGTTGGACCAGTCACTGGATGACCTTTCTTTCAGCCTCTGCTCCATGTATGTTCCCTTTTCTAATTTCACTTAATGTGGTATTTGCATGCACACAGTGAAATTCAAAAATAATAACCTAAATAATTGAAATAACTTTGACTTAAGAATCTGTATGATAATAAACTAAGAGAAAAAGTAGAAATTACTAAATTAGGGACAACAGGACAGCCTGATGAGTAAAGGTAACTTTCACCAGGTCTGAGATTTCAGTTCAGTCTTCATAACTCTCATAGTAGAAGAAAAGAACAGAACCTCTCAAGTTGTCTTCTGACCTTCACATACACACTGCTACATGTGAGCATGCAACACATAAACACATAAGCACATGTGCATGCCCAACTCATAAAATCAATGAGAAGGTAATAACATGAAGAAGGAATTACTAAGTTGAATCATGCATGGCTAATGTTGACTTTGTTATCTAGTGACTTCTTTCATTAATGCAATCCTTCTCTGACTTTAGATGGGAAACTTTGCTCCCATCATGCCATTTTTCACATAGTGTATTAGTTATTTTTTCCATTGCTGTGATAAAAGCACAGTGATCCAAGCAATATAGATGGAAGGGTTTATTTGGAGCTTATAGGTCCTGGGGGATAGATGACTGTGACCATCATGGAAGGAGCATGACAGCAGGCAGACATTCATGGCTCTGGAGCAGTAGCTGAGAGCTCACATTTCCATTCACAAACAGGAAACAGACTTTACTGGGGATGACTGGAAGCTTTTGAAGATCAGTTCCATGACACAGCTCCTCCAACAATGCCATGCCTCTGATCCTTTCTGAACATTACCTCCAACTGTAGACAAAGTATTCAAACCTAAGTCAATGTGAGGCTCTTCTCATCCAAACCACCATATTGTGTTCCCTGACTCCATAGGCTTGTTCTCATAGAATGCAAAATAGATTGAGTCCAACTTCAAAAGTCTCCACAGTCTCAACACAGTTTGAAAACCCAAAGTCTCTTCTGAACTCAAAGCAGTCTCTTAATTGCAACCTTTTGTAAAACCAAACACTAAATCACACACTTCCAATGTACAATGGCACTGATTACATATTATCATTCCAAAAGGGAGAAGTCCGGACATAGTGAGGAAATACCAGACTGAAGAAAGACCAAAGCCCAGCAGGGCAAATTCCAAATCCTTGAAACTCCATGCCCAGTGTCAAAGGAGCTTAGGTAACTTCACCCTTCTGGTTTAGCTGATTCCAGTACACTTCTCTCTCTTGGGCTGGTTCTTGTTGAGGTTTGGTCTGTTGGTATGTATTGTAATGCTAAGGTCTATACCAGAAGTTATAAGCTCTCTTAAGTTTACATCCTTTTGTTGTGCAAACCTTGTTCCTTGATTTAAAACTTGGTTAAATAAAATTGGAGACAGCCAGTTACTGGAGGGATTGGAGGAAGGTAGGTTTCGAGTGACCTGGTTGGGAGTGGCAGTGGGTGGGTGGGGGATGAAGAGGAAGAAGAAGGGAGAGAGGAGCAAGCCACCATGAGGGGAGAGAAACTGGAAGAGGAACCATGAGCACATGGCTGGGAGAAACAGCAAATATCTGGGATACACCTCTGGGGAGGTAGACAGGGCAACAGTTACAAGAGTAGATTAAGAGCTACTCCCCAATAATTGTCAAAACCAAATAAAATTAGCCATATTCTGAGTCTCGATTATTTGTAAGCTAGTCAGGGATACGCTGAAATTGGTTGTACTACAGGTTCTGATCCCTGTCTCATGGCTCTGATATCTCCAACATCTTGAAGTCCCTAACACAATCTAGGCATCATTTTCAGAGCTTCACACAAAGACCTCTCAGGGCCTCAATACAGAGACTCCCTAGCCACATGCCTGACATCAATGAGTCTCTGCTGAGGGAGAGTCCACATTCTCTTCACTCATTTATCTTCCATCACTCTGGAGCCAGAACCACATGACCTACAACCACCAAACCTGCCTACCCCTCGAATCACATTTCAGCAGGTTTCATGTGTTGTTTCTTAGAAGTACAAACTTTCCGAGGCCTTTTCCTTTCCTAATTTGGAAGCTTGGTGCTGTGAAAGCACCCTCCTTTGATTCCAGTGTGGATTGGGAATCTTCTTAATCTTGTTGTCTGTTTCAGAACAAGCCTTGGCTCCAATGGTGAGCTTTCTGGTGCTTTTCTTTCTTCAAGCTGTACACTTTGCATTTCTTTGTTCTTACTCACTCTTTTCTCATTGTGGACCTGCACAACAGTGTCGACTCATCACCTCAGAGCAGGGTCAATATTAGGCTGCCTTAAAATCTCTTCTACCAAATAAATTACCATTACTTTTTAACTTGGTGTCAGGGAAGTTCTAAGGATAAAGGTAGAAATCAGCCACACCCTTTGCCAAAATACCACAAGAGCAGGTCGTTAGCCCAGTTGATAAAACTTTTTCTTTCTGAAACCTCTTGAGCTAGACCTCAGTGGTCTACATTGTTCTCAGAATTTTGTGTGCAGAGCTTTTGGGGCCACTCCTATGAATCTGGCAGGAATTTGACATTGAGCTAAGCCATCGAAGTGGGCTCAAGGTAAATACGGCCATGGAAAGTATTGTATTCCTTGTATCTTGGTCATCCTTATAAGCCCCTGGACACAGTTATCATGGGACTTTCTTTATTGCTTTGTTTGGTTATTTTGATTATTGCCTTGTTTGTTCCTTGATTACTTTGTTTATGCCTTAGGACTGACCATATTCTTTGTGTGTAGAATGATATAAAAGCAGACTGGAAAGAAATAAATCAAATTCAGCTTCAGAACTGGTTGGGGTCATGTTTTAATGTTGTCTAATTATCTTTTTCTTTTCAATCTTCTCTCCCTCCTTGGAGACCCCACTGACTGACAGAACTGGCATGGCCACTTTTATTTTCCAAGCTCCTGATAGTTTATAGTGTTTCAGTTTATAGTGTTGCTTTTCTAGCCCAAACTCCTAAAACCTCTGCATTCCTCCAGAAACCAGCATGGTCATATCTGTCACAGCAATAGCCCACAGTCCGCTACCAACTTCTGTATTATTTACTTTCTAGTTGCTCTGATAAAGCCCCATGACCAAGACAACTTATAGATGTAAAGGTTTATTTGTGGTTTACAGTGTGGTAGGAGTCTTTCACCATCAGTGAGCATGACAGTAGAGGGGACATTCATGTCTCTAGAACAGCAGGTGACAGCTCACATCCCAATCCACCAACAGGAAACAGGATGCTTTTGGAATGGCGATGGTAGAAGGATTATGAAGCCTCAGAGCCCATCACTGTTACGCACTTCTACCAACAATGTCACACCTAATTCTTTCCAAAGGATTTGACCAACTGGAAGCAAGCATTCAAACATTTGTGCCTATGGGGAATATTCTCATTGAGAGCAACATACAGGGCCAGTTTCTGTGAATGGAAAATAAGAAGGGAAAAGAAGGAGAAAGAAAAGTTAGGGTAACGAGATTAATGGAATGGGTTAACCATAAGTAAATTGAAATTGAAATGTTACAAGACTAATTATATTTAAAGCAAAAATAAACACCAACTTTAAAAACCTTCACAGAGGCTCTTTATCAATGATTCTCTCTTCCTCTGACTACATTTTCTTCTTTCTAGTTGAAGGACACAGTACTTTCTAAATAAAACATGTACATCTATCTATCTATCTATTTATCTATTTATCTATTTATCTAACTATCTATCTATCTATCTATCTATCTATCTATCTATCTATCTATCCATCCACCCATTTATCCCTTATTTCTGTCTCTTTCTTCCATACACACAAACACATACTGAAGGGGGACTGTACAATTTTCTTGGTTCAGCCTGCTTGACCTTGACAGATATAAAAACACACCGTAAATGCTCAAAACTTTCACCCCTGTATTTTTGTGTATGTGATCAGATGTGTCTGCATGTTCATACATGTATGCAAGTGTATATGCATGTACGTGCTGGAGGACAGAGTTCATTGTGGGGTATTGCGCCTCAGAAGCAATTACCCTCTCATTTCTGCGATAGATCTATGATCACAAGTACACACCACCATGCCTGGCTTTTTACATGGGTTTTGTTGGCTGGAATCCTATC